GCATAATGCATGTAGCCCTGTCTCTATAGAAACAGCCACCTACCTAACAACAAAGTTGCCATAACTACAGTCACTGCTGAGGTCAAAATGCTGGGTGGCCTATAGTTTATAATACTCAGTAGCTAAAAGTTAGTGTACAGCTGCAAACACTCACTTGGCCTAATGTAAAAGAAAATACTTTTCTTAAACTAAAGACCAGTTTAACAGAAAACTAAAAAATCCCACATGTAAAATGCCCTAAAATTTTAATCCATGTATTTTATGGAGATTTCAGTCTCAGGGCTGAGAAGTTGGCTCAGTGGTTCAGAACATTTGTTGCTCTTGCAGAGGACCCAGGTTTGACTCTCAGCACTCACATGGCAATTTATAACCCTTTGTAACTCCAGTCTCAGGGGATCTGATGCTTTGACCTCTGAGAACACCAGACAAAAATATAAATTTTAGTTCAATACACCAGAGGTTAGGATGGTTGGGGCACAGAAATGACACTGTCCTTTGGATGGACAATGAAATAAAAGATGATGTCATCCAAGGGGCCATGGTGATGCTTCTGTTACTAAACTTATATACAGAGCAGTGAGTTTCTTAGCGCAAAACCACAGAAATCAACAGACTTTGTAGGTATGTTGGTGTATGTCTATAGTCATAATACTTTTAGAAGATGAAGGCAAGTTGATCAGGAGTTCAAGACCAACCTCAGCTACATAATTAAATAACTAGCCATCTGGTAGTGGCACATGCCTTTAGTCCTAGTACTCAGGAGGTGGATCTCTGTGAGTTCGAGGCCAGCCTGGTCTACAGAGCGAGTTCCAGGACAGGCTCCAATGCTACACAGAGAAAGCCTGTCTCAAAAACAAAACCAAAAGAAAAAGAAATAACTCAGTTGCCTTGCCTTGAGAGGCCTTGTAAAGGTGTCTGACATTTCTGGAGAATGCCTGCTTCCTGGGCAGCTATTAGTTGAAGAAAAAGGGTTGAGAGCCACATATCTTGTCTCTCTGAGCTCTCAGGCAGGCTTCTATGCCTGCTCTGGGACAGAGAGCAGCTAGAAGTGAAGGGTGCAGGAAGAAGCCTTCCTCTCCAGGTGCACAGTCACAGGGAAAGGCCAAGAGATAATTGAAAGTGGAAGTCTGTTGGCAAGTGGGGATTTAGAGTAGAGGGGCTTCCTCAGTGGCTGTCCGTATTGTGTACTAAGTGCGAATGTTTTGCCACTAATTCTCAGAAAAAAATGTTTCTTCCCCAGTCTCCTTAGGGACATCAAGCTTGAGACAAGCAGTAATTTTCTCAAGGTCACACATAAATAAGCATTAGTGTTTGAGTCTGTACTTAAAGCCACAGCAATCTTTGCATGTTTGTCACTGCTTCTTGCTCCTACATGCTTAGCAATGGTAAGGTTGTCTGCTGCTACCCCAGCTGCTGGGTAGTTCAGTATCCTTTATTGGTCTACTTTAGCCATTTCTTCTCTTACAAGTTAGAAAATTGAGGTTTGGAATAGAACAGGCCAGCCCCAATTGGACCATGATGACTGTGAAGAGATAATGGATTGAGGAGTGAGTACAGGGACAAAAGTTGGGGTTAAAGCCTTGAAGGTAGAGGATGGGCGGAAGACAGATGATTGTTTCTGGGGATGGGAAGAGGAATCATTGAAAGGGAGGAGCAATGGCTGACAGACCAGGGACTGATAAGAGTCAAGCAAGTCAGACTAGAACAAGATGCTTAAAAACAAAACAAAACAAACAAGCAAAAAACCCAAGTAGGTGGATCTGAAGGGTGAAGGAAGTAAAGTTGTAGTTGAAGTTCACCTGATAAGAGCGAGTGGTAATAGAATAGCTGCTCAGCAACTGCCAGTCTCTGTCTTCTGTCAGTGAGCATGAACCTCGTTCATGTCATGAACCTAGTCAGTGGCCAGAAGATATGAGGGGCCAGGGAGGGGCTAGAGAGAAGGCTCAGTGGTTAAGAGCACTGCAAAGGACCTACATGGTCGTTCATAACTATCTATGACCTCATTTCCAGGGGCTACAACAGGCGTCCATGTGGTACATATACATGTATTCAGGCAAAACATTTATACACATAAAGTAATCTTTTTTAAAATGATGTGAAGAGCCAGGTGGTGGTGGCACATGCTGTTAATCCCAGCACTAGGGAGTCAGAGGCAAGCGGATCTCTTGAGGTGGAGGCCAGCCTGGTCTATAGAAGGAGGTCTACACAGAGAAACCCTGTCGGGGGGGCGGCGGGGGGGGGGGGGCAGCAAAAACAAAGATAGGTGAGGATAATACCTCCTAGATGGGGCTAGAGAGATATCTCAGCAGTAAGAGCCTTTGCTATTCTTTCTGGAGGACCAGAGTTCAATTCTCAGCACCCACATGGCAGCTGACAAACATCCGTGATTCTAATTCAAGGGAATCTGATACTGTTCTGGCTTCCTTGGACACCAGACACACGCATGGTACATAGACATATGGAAACAAAATACCCATACATGTAAAACTTTTGTTTTAAAAGAAAGGCCAGGGATAGAGCCCCTTGCCGAGGAAGCAAGGATCTAGAGACTCTTGGGGAGAAATAGCATCAGCTGTGAGCCGCAGAGGCCTGGGAGTAGGAACAAGGGCTGAGTGTGCTTACACATGGTCTGACTGTGATCTTCACTCTAACCAAGAGGAGACAGTTTTGAAGCACTGTGCATGCCACATCTTTCCGGATAGGTTATTGCATTTTTCCAGTGTTGACTTTTCTTCCTCCTCCCCTTTCTCTTTTGCTTTTGAGGCAGGGCTTCACTCTGTCTCTCAGGTTAACTTCAGATTTAAAGCATCCTTCTGTTCAATCTTTCAAGTGCTTGGATTTTATGGGTGTGCATATCACATCTAATTTTATAGGGTACTAGGGCTGAACTCAGGGTTTCAAACATGCTAGGTAAGCACTGTACCAACTGAACTGAATCCCCAGCTCTACCAACTTATTTTATAGAAAAAACAATTCTATTTCTGCATAATTGCCATAAAAAGTGAAGGACATGATCAACTCCAAGAAGCTTGTTTCACTTGTGAGCACAGAGGGCCTGAGCAGTGGTGGCTCATCTGGACCTGAGTGAGAAGAGGGTGAGTGACAGCTGTTACTATGTCAGTTTTACATTTCTCATTACATCAACATGTATTTTTCCCTTAAAAGTTTATTAGTGAGCACAGTAGATATTTTGATACACCTTTGCTACATAACCAATGTGGAAATGTAGAAGTTCCTTCTTGGCCTTGGGTCTTACAGCTTGGGTATAGAGATGCCTGCACCAGAGCAGATATCCAGGGCTGGGTACATTCCCAAAGAGTTTCCCTGCATATAAGCATGTGTTGTTAGCATCTTTTTAGCTGTTATTTAGTGGTCACCGTGCTAATCAGTTGTGTCCACTTTATTTGTCAGCCATAATGGTAATAGTCATGGGCACTTTGGTGGTCAGTTGTAATGTTCACTGGTAAGTCATAGTAGTCATTGTGGTGGTCCTTGTGATAGTATCCTCTGTGGTGTTGGTCATAGTGGACACTGATGGTCCTTGATGTGGTCAGTTGTAATTGGTCACTGCCATAATCACTGTGGTGGTCAGTTGTAGTGTTCACTGTGATGGTCAACGATGGTCACAAGTGATGGTAACTGTCATGGTCACTGTGGTGATCATTGGTGTGGTCATCTGTAATAGCCACTGTCATCACTATGATGGTCACTTGTATTTTTCACTGTGATGGACATCTTAGTGCTCACTGTGGTGGCTAGTTGTAGTGGTTGCTGTGGTGATCATTGATGTGGATAGTCATATATTGGTTATAGCCATGGTCACTGTGATGATCAGTTGTAGTGTTTGTTCTGATTGTCAATTATAGTCACTGTTGTGGTCAATGTCGTGGTCACTTAGAGTGTCCATTGTGATGGTCAGTCATAGTGGTTCTTTTCAGTTGGCTTGACTAATTATTCCTAAATAAATACACATTTGAATTCATTAAAATATAAGCCAGATTTTAAGATAAATATTGCATATATTCTTTCATATGGGAAATCTAGATTTAAAAAAAAATACTAAACTGGGCAATGCTGGCACACGTCTTGGCAGAGGCAGGCAGATCTCTGTGAGCTTGAGGTCAGCCTGTTTTACAGAATGAGATCATAGAGAAATCATGTCTGAAGAAGAAGAAGAAGAAGAATGGGCTAGGATGAATGGCAGTTAGTTTTGAGGAAAATTGAGAAGTAAAAAATGTCAAAAGGAAACTTTAAAAGTTAGCTTTGAGGGTTGAGCTTATTCAGCAGTTATACTTATTGCTCTTACAGGGGACCCAGATCTGTTCTCAGTACATGTATGACAGTTCATGTCACAGACCTTGGCTCTTACTATTAGAGGAAATTTTTAAAGTACTTTAATTGTATTTGTAAGAAATGATATTGTATTGTAGGAAACAATAAACTACTTTTATTGTATTATTCTATAGATAACCAATTTGTGTAAAAATCAGTGAACTGACATTTAGTTTTTTAGGCATATTTTCTTTAAAAGGTATACTGAGCGATAGAGTGCCTCAGCTACAAAAGCCTACGATGTTCAACATGGCTATAAATACAAGAAAGGTAGCATAGCCTAATACCCAGGAAGCAAGACCTAGTACGGTTTCTCCTCTTTGCTCATCGGCATCCTTTCTGGCAGGTGTCTACTATAAGAGTCATTGAAGATTTCTGTATCATCTTTGCTAAAGGCCAAACAAATGGGTCAAGAAATGTAAAGCTATTAATACCCCAGTGTCTCAAACCTTTTCCAACTGTCCTTCAAGATAGGGAAGATTCTGCTCCACCTCTTTCTCTTTTTTCTCTCAGATGCCTCACCATACACACATACACACCAAGAGGTTCACCTGATTAAAGCCGCTGCATCACAGCTTCCAGGATCTGCGCGACAGATTTTCATCTAAATATTTTTTTTAAAAAAAAAACTTTTGCCTTTACACATGTTTTTCTTTTTTACCTTCCAGGCAGTGTCTGTGTTTCTGCAGAGTTTTGCACAGAGTCTGTTCCCATGCAAACCAATGAGGGAGAAGTAGAGGAAGAAAGCAGTTCCAAGGTCAGTACCTCACTCAACAGAGGAGCAGCTGGAGTAGCAACTGAACAGTTAGTGGCAGTGGATGGATTGAGTGGGTGTTTTGTTGTGGGTGAATTTAGAAATTAGATTGATGAGATCTTTCTTCTCAGTATACTTCTTCATTATGCTACATGACAATTTAAAAACAAATTTTATCAGATTGATTGATTGATTGGTTGTGCATGTGTGCATGTGTGTGTGTGTGTAATACTGTGGATTAAACCCAAGGCCTGGCTCATGTTAGGCAAATGCTCTGCCTTGAGCTATACTCCTATCCCTTTTTAAATTTTTATTTTGAGACGTGTTTGCCTAAGCCACCTAGGCTGGCCTTGGACTCGACAGTCTAGACAAGCCTTGGATTTGAGATCCTAAAACTTCAGCCTCCTGCAGGACTGGGTAATAGTTACGATTCATTCTTAGAATACTAGTATTGTAAATTCTGTTATGAAAGTTGTTTATACTTGTGAAACAAACCAGAAATATATGAAGCAAATATTGTTTTGTAGGATGGAAGGAAAGATTGGCTTTCTTGGTTTGTAGTTACTTAATGATGTGTTATTTCAAAATCAGACTAAAAATAAGGGGACAAAGGCAACACACATGCCTGTAATCTATTTGGGATGCTGAGACAGGAGGATGGCCTTGAATTTGAGGCCAGCCTGGGCTATCAAGTGACTAGCAAGCCATCCATGCCTATATAGCAAGTCCTTGCCTCAAACAAACAAAAAAATAAATTGGATTTTAACTTCATCTTCATCAGCCTTTTTAATTAAAAAAATTATCTCCTTGTATCGCTTTTTTATGTAAAATCTTACATTTGTAATGATTTTTTTGTTAATGTAGGATTTTATTTATGTTAATTTAGGGATATCTGTGAATAGAAAGCTGGTTCTGGGGAGAAATGGAGCATTTTCTATATATGTGGTTTGAGCTAAATCTATTTTTTTTTCTTTTGGGTTTTTGAGACAGGGTTTCTCTGTGTAGTCCTGGAACTTACTCTGTAGACCAGGCTGGCCTCAAATTCACAGAGACCCAACTGCCTCTGCCTCCGGAGTGCTGAGATTAAAAGTGTGTGTCATCATCACCGGCTTCTGTTTCTTTTTTTAATAACTATACTTTTGCTTGCATGCATGTATGTGCACCACTAATGTGCCTGGTACAGAAACAGGTCAGAAGAAGGTGTATGACATCCTGAAACTGGTTGTGAACTACCATGTGGGTGCTAGGAACCAGTCCTGAGTTCTCTGCAAGAGTAGTGAGTGCTCTTAACCACAGAGCCATCTCTCCAGCTCTCAATAAATAATTTTTAATTATATGTTAAATGGTGATGTAACAGGGTGAGATTATTCTCAAGATGGCCACATTCTAAAGAGAAACAAATAAATGTAAAGATAATCATTAGAACCACTGTAAGTACTATGAAGAATGGAAAATAAAGTGTAGATTAAAAGGGGACTAGGAAGAGGAGCTAGACTATCGAGGAAGGCCTCAGTGACAAGATCTTAGCCAAAGGACCAGGAGGCCAGCTATGGGAAAAGTGAGGGGAACAGTGTTCTAGACATAAGAAAGGGCTGCAGAGGCCCCAGCTTGTTCTAGGAACTATCAGATGCCCAGGTGGCCGGGTGTGATAGCAGATTAGAAAAGGGTGTAGAGACTGTGCTCCTCAAAGGCACATTCTTTGTACTGGGCAGCCTAATGCAAGTGTTGCCTCTGGGAAGAGCAAGATCCAATGAGTGAGAGATCAATCTGATCATCTGGAGACTACTGGAGAGCCATGATTCTCTGTTCTCCAAACCTTTTTTAAGTGTTGGAATCATAGGTACATTTGGTTTCTGTGGTACTGAAGCTTCATTCATGCTAGACAAGCACCCTACAAATTGAGCTACATCCCCAGTTCTGGATAATTTTTTAAGGAAGTTATTACTTTTTTATTAAAGCTAGTATGATGGCTTACACCCGTAATCCCAGCACTTGGGAGGGTGAGGTAGGATTGTGAGTTTGAGTTCAGCTTGACTACGTAGAAATTCCTTGTCAGTCTCAGCTACATAGCAAGACCTTGTCTCAGAATACAAACAAAAATAGTGTAGCCAGTGCTACCCAGAGAAATCCTGTCTCAAAAAACAAAACAAAAGTCAGGACCACGAGGGGTGCACCCACCCACTGAGACAGTGGGGCTGATCTATTGAGAGCTTACCAAGGCCAGCTGGTCTGTGACTGAAAAAGCATGGGATAAAACCGGACTCTCTGAACATGGCGGACAATGAGGGCTGATGAGAAGCCAAGGAACAATGGCACGGGGTTTTGATTCTATTTCATGTTCTGGCTTTGTGGGAGCCTAACCAGTTTGGATGTTCACCTTCCTAGACCTGGATGGAGGGGGGAGGACCTTGGATTTTCCACGGGGCAGGGAACCCTGACTGCTCTTCGGACTGGAGAGGGAGGAGGAGAAAAGTGGGGGG